CCGCCCCCATCCCCTCATCCCCACCCACCCCTTCCCAAACACCCCACGGATCACGAAAAGCTTGAGTAACCGTCTTAAAGTACCCACCGCTAACACCCGGCTTTTTTTCAGACAGACCAACCCGGGGTAGCATGTCCTTGCCTGCACAAATATGAGGCATCGTGGTGAAATCAGGCGCTCGTCATAATAATCAAATCAAAGAAACCGTCTTTTGTCTGGACGTCAGGCAATCTTTATTCGAATGTTCTTTTCTTTCCTTTGTTTCTTTCTTTTTTTCTTTTGGGGAGGGGGGGGGATGGGCTTAATAAAAAATAACAACCTATAGCATTTGCATACCGCAAATTCCAGCTCAACAGCAAACTCTGCTCTTTAAAATGTGTATTATGTCTATTTTAAAGGACATTTCTGTGTGGGTTTTACGGAAAGACGTTGATTAAAGGCATAGAAAACTTGTTAATGTCCGGTTTTCAAAGACACCCAAGCTCTGGAAATCACCAAACTTTGGCGGCCATTTTCCTTTTGACACAAGGCGACCCTGTCGGGCGACTCCCTCCTCCTTCAATCGCACAGATAAGATAAGATAAGATAAGATAAGATAAGATAAGATAAGATAAGATAAGATACATCTTTACTGTCCAGATCGTGGCACATTGGTTTTGGTGTTTCACCATGTGTACACACACACACACACACACATACACACACACGTACACACACACACACACACACACACACACACACACACACACACACACACACATTTCGTCTTCTTTTCAAATTAAATTGGGATTTTGTTTTCATCAAAAGCAAGACAATAAAATATGATCAAGTTGTAAGGTAATACTTATACATGTAACTCCGTATGCCCAAAGATTGATGAGCGCCTGATTCCACCATGCCGTGACGCAAACCGTAAATGTAAGGCAGCATGGTGCAATCGTCAAAATAATGGAATAAAAAAAACTCAGCGTTTATGGGGCCGATGGTCAATTTTTTTCTTCTAATTTTCTTTTTATTTGGCTCAACACCTTTTATGTCCATTCAAAAACACATTCTTGTGTGGATTTTACAGAAAAAAAAACATTGATTAAAGGCATAAAAATGTAAATTGTCAATTTCCAAGGACTATAAAGGCTAAGGAAGTTACCAAACTTTGGCTGTCATTTTCTCGTTAATTTTACCTCTGCAAATATTTCGACTTCTATTCAACATAGATGGATATTAATTTCACCAAAAGGAAGACAAATAAACACGCTTTAAGATGATACGAATAACCTCATAATACGCCCAAAAATTGACGAGCGCCCGATTCCACCATGTCGTGCCTCAAACCGTAAATATTGAGGCAGGTGAGGGTGGGGTAGGGCTAGGTTTGTTTGGGCTGGGTGGTCTCACAGTCAGGTATTTTATCTCCGGGATCTTTACAACTGTTTTAGCATCAGCTCCTCCGGTGCGGAACCACGGGGAAATAGGGAGACAGGTAGACCGGTCGAGACATGTCGTGGGGAGGTTGGTGGATTTATGTACCGTTTGTTGTAGGTACACTGCAGAGGGCTGGGTTTGTGTGTGTTAGGGAGGATTTTCTGTCTTATGAATGGTGTATATACCTCCGTCCTCTTTTTCTGCCC